GATAATTCTTGTTGAATGATCTTTTAATTTGTAACTTGTCTAGATTGTTATTATAGATTTTTTTTTTTGAATTTGTTACATATTGATACTTAGAGAGAGAATGCGAAACGAGTATATACGGGGAAAGGTTGGAGTAGCTCTAGTGATGGATAAGCTTAGAGAGTCACCTTAGATGATTTAGTCATTTAAATTTTCGGCCTTCCGATGACTTTCTTAGGAGAGTAGATGTATTAGATCTGTCCTATTTTAAGAAAGGTAGGGGTAGACCTAAAAAGATTTAGAAAGTATTAAAAAATAAAAATGACATTTTTATTAGCTTTAAATGAGAATTTGACTTATAATAGGATACCATGAAAAAAATGATTCGTGTAGTTGACCCCATGTAATGAGATAAATGCTTGTTGTTGTTGTATCGATTACATTAATCCATCTTGTGATTGTCTATTTAAAGGCTTGCAATTCTGTGGGAAGTGGTGTGGATAACAAGTTCAGAACCTAGAACCTGAGAAGAAAGCTATCTACAACAAAAAAATTTAGGCTAAGAAGTTTGGTTTATGGATCATGTTTGTAATGGTTTGCCTCTGATTGGAAACACTTGTAGATCTCAAGTATTTTGCATCAATCTTTGGAAAACAACAAGAATTCTCCACAAAAATTCACACAAAACCACAAAACAGTAGATAACTTGTATCATTTGATGAAATGGAAATGGAAAATACCAAGATACAATTGATCCTCTATTTGATAGGAGGATGTTTCTCTCCCAAATCTCTAGCCGCCGCTAGAGCCCAAAGAAACTAAGAGATCTCAAATTTCAGCTATATTCAAGATGACATAATCCTAGGAAAACAAACTATTTAATGCATACAATTCAAAAGGAAATCTCTAAACAGTCCCTACATTCAATTTCCCTTCTAAACTCCCTTCAAAATCCTTCCTAAACAGTCATTTTTTTGCTCCTGTCAATTTGCGCGATATGCTGGAGGTGGAATCCTCCGCTTCCGTTTGCTGGGCCAGTCCCGTGTGGACCGGCCTAGCCGGTCTAACAGCCTCCTAGTTTCAGTGCATGCCAATTTTGTCTTGTGCAGTGTCTTCTTCTTCAATTATTTTCCCTCAAGTTTTTTATGCCACAGTGTAGGTGACTGTGACCTAGGCCCTTCCTATCTCCTCTTGTTTTCTTTATGCAAAGAAAGAATATCCGCTCTAAATAAACCAATCTTGAGCTTGGGGGAAGCATCTGGGTTGATATAAAGTGGCAAAGACTTGAACTAGGTAAATTATATACAAGCTGGCAATGATCTCCAAATGTTCAAGGCAAGCTCAAGCATATATTTTGCTTACTTTACCTCTTCTTATTTGCAACCTTAGCTACAACAACTTTTGTAGGTACTTAGTGCTCTAAACCTTTACTTTTTGAATACACATGGGTCGGAGATTCTTAGAATCACATATTGCTCATCAGGACAAATCAAAGAATGGATTTCTGTACGTATCTGGCATTCAGAAAGGAAAGAGATGTTATTATGTTAAACATGTACGGGGATCCTTATCGTTGAAACATTGGATGTAGGCATTAATAGATAAAATTATGATGCTTGGGAGGAATTTTTCATGATTTTGATAAGGTGCAGGCCTAGGTTTGCATGTCGAACAATTGAACGAACATATGAAGAACTTCAAATTATATGTGAATCAAATGAATTATTTCACTTGTGCTAATTATGCTCATGTATCATATCTCAATATTCAAGCCATATTTGTATTTGTATTTATGAATAAATGCGTGAATTTATCTACCAGCATATGTGCATGTGTGTGAGTTTATGTATTCAATGTTTTAGCTTTCTGTTTGATATAATTCTTACTGTTTTTGGGTTGGGTGGCATATGACCGACACAGTTCTAAGTTCAAGTTGTGGGGTTAGAGAGGCCCGCCTCTTGAAATTTGACAATCAAAGTCTTACTCTTTATTTTCATACAATAAGATTCTTACATGAATACAATTGTAGTTTAAAAAATTTATGTGGTTTAATTTATTTGTTTTCTAAAATATGGCTAACACTCAAACTTACATCCAATGGTTGAAGGATTGCATCGGGCTTTTTGTGCGATAGACAAGTCCCCCTCAAACTTAAGGGAAATTCTATAAGATGGTGATGAGACCTGCAATGCTTTATGGTGCCGAATGTTGGCCATTAAAAGAGAAGCATAATACTAAGTTAAGTGTTGTAGAGATGAGGATGCTTAGGTGGATGAGTAGCTTTACCCTTAGAGATAGGATACAATATGAGCATATGCGTGAAAAGGTTGAAGTAGCGTCAGTGGAAGATAATATTAGAGAGAGTCATCTTAGATGATTTGGTCACATTAAACGGAGGCCTTCTGATGACCCGGTTAGGAAAGTTGAGGTATTAGATTTGACTTAATTATGTTAAAAAAGATAGAGGTAGACCTAAAAAGACTTGATAAAAAAATATTAGAAATGATATTTCTTTATTAAATTTAAATGAGAATTTGACTTTTAACATGCCACAATGACAAAAAAGGATTCATGTAGCAGACCCCACATAGTGGGACAAAAACTTGATATTGTTATTGTTGTTGTACTCAAACTTACATCCAACTCCTGCTTACCCATGCAGACATGTTCTCCAACATTTCTTTTTAATGACGATTGTAGGGATTCCTAATCATAATCGAACAATGATGCACCAACATATTGTTAGACCGGTCCATTGGACCAGTCCAGCCGGTCCAGGCGGGACCGGTTCACGGGCAAAATCGCGAAACAGCTCCGCCTGGGCAGAAGCCGCGCGCGAGACGCACGTCTTGCGGGACCGTTTCCGGAAGGAAATTTGAGGAAGTTTAGGAGGGAAATTGATTGCAGGGACTGTTTAGGGAATTCCTTTTGAATTGTATGCATTAAATAATTGATTTGGCTAGGGTTTGGGCATCTTGAATTTAGCTGAAATTTGAGATCTCTTAGATGTATCTAAACAGTCCCTACATTCAATTTCCCTTCTAAACTCCCTTCAAAATCCTTCCTAAACAGTCATTTTTTTGCTCCTATCGATTTGCGAGATATGCAGGAGGTGGAATCCTCCGCTTCCGTTTGCTGGGCCGGTCCCGTGTGGACCGGCCTAGCCGGTCTAACAGCCTCCTAGTTTCAGTGCATGCCAATTTTGTCCTGTGCAGTGTCTTCTTCTTCTTCAATTATTTGCCCTCAAGTTTTTGATGCCACAATGTAGGTGACTGTGACCTAGGCCCTTCCTATCTCCTCTTGTTTTCTCTATGCAAAGAAAGAATATCCGCTCTAAATAAACCAATCTTGAGCTTGGGGGAAGCATCTGGGTTGATATAAAGTGGCAAAGACTTGAACTAGGTAAATTATATACAAGCTGACAATGATCTCCAACTCCAAATGTTCAAGGCAAGCTCAAGCATATATTTTGCTTACTTTACCTCTTCTTATTTGCAACCTTAGCTACAACAACTTTTGTAGGTACTTAGTGCTCTAAACCTTTACTTTTTGAATACACATGGGTCGGAGATTCTTAGAATCACATATTGCTCATCAGGACAAATCAAAGAATGGATTTCTGTACGTATCTTGGCACTCAGAAAAGGAAAGAGATGTTATTATGTTAAACATTTATGGGGATCCTTATCATTGAAACATTGGATGTATGCATTAATGGATAAAATTATGATGCTTGGGAGGAATTTTTCATGATTTTGATAAGGTGCAGGCCTAGGTTTGCATGTCGAACAATTGAACGAACATATGAAGAACTTCAAATTATATGTGAATCAAATGAATTATTTCACTTGTGCTAATTATGCTCATGTATCATATCTCAATATTCAAGACATATTTGTATTTGTATTTATGAATAAATGCGCGGATTTATCTACCAGCATATGTGCATGTGTGTGTGAGGTTATGTATTCAATGTTTTAGCTTTCTGTTTGATATAATTCTTACTGTTTTTAGGTTTTGGGTGGCATATGACCGACACAGTTCAAAGTTCAAGTTGTGGGGTTAGAGAGGCCTGCCTCTTGAAATTTGACAATCAAAGTCTTACTCTTTATTTTCATACAATAAGATTCTTACATGAATTCAATTGTAGTTTAAAAAATTTATGTGGTTTAATTTATTTGTTTTCTAAAATATGGCTAACACTCAAACTTATGTCCAATGGTTGAAGTGAAGGATTGCATCGGGCTTTTTGTCCGATAGACAAGTCCCCCTCAAACTTAAGGGAAAATTCTATAAGATATTGATGAAACTTGCAATGCTTTATGGTGCTGAATGTTGGCCATTAAAAGAGAAGCATAATACTAAGTTAAGTGTTGTAGAGATGAGGATGCTTAGATGGATGAGTAGCTTTACCCTTAGAGATATGATACAATATGAGCATATACGTGAAAAGGTTGGAGTAGCGCCAGTGGTAGATAATATTAGAGAGAGTCGCCTTAGATGATTTAGTCACATTAAACGGAGGCCTTCCGATGATCCGGTTAGGAAAGTTGAGGTATTAGATTTGTCTTATGTTAAGAAGGTAGAGGTAGACCTAAAAAGATTTGATTAGAAAATATTAGAAATGATATTTCTTTATTAGATTTAAATGATAATTTGACTTTTAACATGCCACAATGGCAAAAAAGGATTCATGTAGCCGACCCCACGTAGTGGGACAAAGGCTTGATGTTGTTGTTGCTGTTGTACTCAAACTTACAACCAACTCTGCTTACCCATGTAAACATGTTCTTCAACATTTTTTTTAATGACGATTGTAGGGATTCCTAGGGTTTAAATTCACCAAAAAAAAAAAAAAAAAATCAAAATCAATGAGAAACACTTAGAAATCCAAGTGTTTCCTATCACATATCTTATTTGAAAGGTTTAATAGAAAAAATCTGTTTGTATTTTCCAGCTTTTACTGGCCTATTCTTAACAGTTTTCTTACCCGAACCATTTAAATATACCTACCATTGCAGACAGAATGGGAAGGCGGTTACTTTCCTCTAACACTCCACTTCAGCGAGGACTACCCTAGCAAACCCCCGAAGTGCAAGTTCCCTCCAGGCTTCTTTCATCCAAATGTATATCCATCTGGTACAGTATGCCTATCCATTCTCAACGAGGACAGTGTAAGTGAACTTTCTGCAGCCCATCTAACCAGAGAAATAAATAAACTTGCGAATATTATCATATTGGCTTGGCAATTTTTTCTTCCTGTAGGGATGGAGACCTGCCATCACTGTAAAACAAATTCTTGTAGGAATACAGGATTTGCTTGATCAGCCTAATCCAGCTGATCCTGCTCAGACTGATGGATACCATCTCTTCATTCAGGATCCGGTGGAGTACAAAATAAGGGTGAAGCATCAGGCGAAGCAATACCCTCCGCTTGTTTAGGGTATGTTTGATAGCTTTTGCAACTTGTTTGGTTCATTGAACATTTGTGATTACTGCTGTGAAGGATATTGGATTGGAACTGGAGTGTGTGTGTGTACTACGATGCCCTTACGACAACCAAATGAAGGCATTACATGTACTTGATACAGGGCTTACCTGCTGTTTGATATGAAGTTTGTGCTTAACTTTTGCCTGTTCATCTGCTTAGCTCGTTCCTATTGCTAAAATACGTAATTACATAGGCAAAGACTAATTACAACTCTATGATTGAGAGAAGCAGTTGGTAGAGCAACAATAAATAACAACAATAACAACATCAAGCCTTTATCTTACTGTGGGGTTGGATACATGAATCTTTTTTCTCAATTGTGTCATGTTAAAAGTTAAATTTTTATTTAAATCTATCTAATAAAGAAACTTCGTTTCTAATATTTTCTAACTAATTCTTTTTTAGACCTACATCTACCATTTTGAACACAACTCAAATCTAATACATCTACTTTTCTAATAAGGTTATCGGAAGGCAGTCGTTTTATGTAACCAAGCCATCTAAGGTGACTCTCTCTAATCTTATTTTCCACTGGAGCTTCTCCAATTTTTTCATGTATATGCTCATTTTGTATTGTCTCTAAGAGTAAAGTCACTCATCTGCCTCATCTCTACAACACTTAACTTAATATTATGCTTCTCTTTTAATGGCCAACATTTTGTACCATAAAACATTGTAGGTCTAACCAACATCTTATAGAATTTTTCCTTGAAAGTTTGAAGGGGACTTTTCTATCACACTATAAGCTTGATGCATTCCTCTACTTCAACCATCCAATTTGAGTTATACTAATAATATCCCTATCTATTTCACTAGTTTGAACAATAGACCCAAGATATCTAAATTGTATAATCTTATTAATGACTTGATCACCCAAAGTCACAATCCTCCAACTAGAACTATTATTACTAAAATTATATTTAATATATTCAGTTTTAGATCTACTCAAATGAAAGTCTTTAAACTTTAAGATTGACCTCCATAATTTAAGTTTGTCTTCAGCTCATATAGTCTTATCAATAAGAAGAATATCATCAACAAAACACATACAACAGGGTACAACCTCTTGCAAATATCTAGTGAGAACATTCATGAATAAAGCAGAAAGATATGACCTTAAGGTTGATATTTGATGTAATCCAACTTAAATAGGAAAATACTTAGTCAAACCAACTTGTGTCTAGACACAACTTTTGTATACATATCCTTAATGACTTGAATATAAGCATTATTAACTCCTTTCTTTTCTGAAACTCTCCATAAAACTTCTCTTGGAACTTTATCATATCATTTCTCTAAATCAATAAATATCATATGTAGATTGTCCTTATTCTCTCTATACTTCTCCATCAAACCTCTCAATAAATATATAGCTTCCATAGTAGACGTACACGACATGAATCCAAATTGATTTTGAGAAACGTTAGTATGACGCCGCAACTTATGCTCCATAACTCTCTCCCGTAGCTTTAAAGTATTATTCATTAACTTAATTCCTCTGTATATCGCACAATCTTGTGCATCACCTTTATTCTTAAAAATAGAAATCGACACACTCATTCTCTATCTATCTGGCATCTTTTTAATTTCAAAATAATATTAAAAAATTTAGTAAGACAAGAATTTTTTTCCCCAAAGCATTTCCACATCTCTTTTGGGATATCATTAGGTCCAATAGCTTTTCCACACATCATTTTCTTTAAAACATTTCTAACTTCAATTTTACTAATACGCCGATAAAAATAAAAATCTTTATTTTTATTTAGGGTGTTAATGTCACTAAAGTCAATCACATTCTCATAATCTTCATTGAATAGTTTATAAAAATATCCCATCCACCTTTATTTAATATCTTCATATAATAATAGTATTTTTTGATCTTCATCATTAATACATTTTAGTTGAACTAAATCATTACCACTCTTATCTCTTTGTTTGACTAACTTATACATATATCTTTCTCTCTCATTAGTATCTAATATATTATATAAATCATTAAAAAGTAAAATCTTTGCATCACATATTGCTTTTGTAGACTTTTTACTGTCATCTTTATATCTTTCCCAATTATCAGAATTTTTACATCTAAATCAATTTTTATTATTATTATTTTTTTCTTGAACATTTTAATTTTACCACAAATTATTTTTATTATAAGGAGCTTCTTCTATTGATATTCAAGCTCATCTTTTGCAATATTCTTTATATTACTGGCTATTTTTTCTTACATAACATTAGCTTTCTCTCGCACAGACAAAATATTAAAATTTAATATTTTACTCTCAAAAATATTTTTGTTAATATTCTTTAAATGCTCTCATTTAATCTTAGAACAATATTTTATTTTATTTGTTATTTTTTACCCCGTCTTCTTAAAGTCCAAAACTAATAAGTGATGTTGGGTACATAAATTTTCACTTAGAATAACTTTACAATCTAAACAATTTTTTTTTCTTATAAAAAATCATCAATCTCAGTTTTACTATATCCATTCAAGTGATGAGGTGCTTATCTTTCGTAAAAAAAAATTATTAACAATTACAAAATCATAAGCTAAAGAAAAATATAATATGGTCTTACCACGTTCATTAGTCACTCCAAATTCATAGCCATTATGAATATTTTTAAAATCATCTATCTCTCTACTAATATGCCCATTTAAATCTCCTACAATAATTTTTTTTCTTCAAGAGTTGTTTTTTTTATTAATTCTTCTAAGTTATTCTAAAATTTTAATTGTGAAATAATATCCAAACATATTATTTTATCTATCAGTTTGTTTCGTAGAAATTATAGAATATTTTATATTAAAAATGATATTTATGGTATTTCTTATAATTCATTAAAGTCTTAAAATAATATTTTGCATGTCTTCTATGAATAATTCTCTCAAATGGTAAATGTTATGAATAATTACCCCCCACACACACGCACATATACATGTTTAATGTCATGATACATGTTAAATTAGTTAAATTATGCATGTGCATTCATGTTCAAATGGTATAAATTATGATGTATGAGATATTAAAGTGCACTACAAATTTTATTATATGGGTCAAATTTGTATTATGTTATACTTCTGTTTAGGTACCATCTGTCTTGTTCACTTGTAAGAGATTATTTCTTGCCACATCTGTTTTATACGAGTGTGGAGGCTTAAGGGAGCTATAAGTGAAAGTTGAGTTATAAAAAAACTTGATTAGATCTCCTTCACCTAGTATGGCTTAATCTTGGGAGGCACAAGGCACAAATGAAAGTGGAGTTATAAGTATGTATTGAGTCATTTACATATCGTGATTCATATATTGCATATCTTATTAAATATTAATAAGTTTAAGTATAAATGATGTTCTGTTAATAATTATACATTGATGTTTCTGTGAAAATACAAGTGAGATTCTATCAACGGGAGCACTCTGACCATGTGAAAGTACAAGTAATGTAAATGTTAATGTTCATAGTCTTTAAGTTCAAGTGATAAGTTATGGGAAATTATTTCTTATGCATATTCAAGTGTAAAACATATTTATTTCGTTCTTCTTATAATGCAAACCAATAAGTCTAAGTAATCTCTCTATTCATATTTTAAAACTATAAAGTTATTTTCTAATACTTTAATTATAGATATTATTTAAGTTTTTTATTTTTATACTACAAATATGAGTATTGATTTATGTAATAGGATTTGGGTAAGCCTACTAATCATATGAAGGCTCACTCTATGGTTTATAAAATTTCATGAAAGGGGAAAGGTCTAACAGAGTAAAGGTTGATAAGATCAAGATTGTTATGAATGAATTTTGTTAGTCAAGTTTTATGTCTTATTGTATAAAACACATTTATACTATATTAATTATTTATAATTCTTTTTGAAATAAAATTATGATTATTATTTATATTTTTAGATTACATTGGATTATTTAGATGGGTTTCATATATGTTGTATTGTGGATGAGATAACTAATTTCAAATTTTAATCCTTCTAATAGATTCTAGGGCATAATAGAGTGGTATTAGAGTGAATGTTTGAAAAGAGTGCATCATAATCAGAGTCGTAGGGAATGATTTTTTGACATACGGAAGGAGTCATGTGTAGTTTAGTATTATTTTTAACCTATATATGTGTTATATGTGCATATAGTTAAACCTCATTTTCTTATTTTAAATGAATTTATTACTGATAATGGACCCCTAAGACCTAAAAATAGCTAATGGATAGAGTTCCAGTCAAACTGCAACTATTTAGAATGTTGTGAGGGAAATGAATTCTAACTCTATGTTGTTTGTTGGTTTAGTAGCCCATCTAATGGGGTGAAACACATAGTAGGACGATTAGCTTTAAAGTATATGAGATGGATAAGCAACTATAGTTATTTTTTAAGATTGAAGCTTCCTCATTTCTGAGGAGTAGTGAAAGCTAAGGCAGTTGATGATTGATAAATGAGGTTAGAAAAGTCCATAAATTCCATGCAGTGTTATAAAGGTATAAACGAATAGCTAAATTTCTATTCTTTTAGAAGATGCAAATAATATTAAAATATAAAAAACTAATACAAACTAGATCTGAAAAACTACTAGGGAATCCTTTCAAAATATTGCGAAAGGAAGCCTTATTTAAAAGAAATTTAAGCAACAAAAAATATTTGAAAAAAAGGAAATATCATAATGAAAATAAGATCCTCTACTCCTCATTTTAAACCAGTTGGGGTGGAGTGGATACCAAAGATAAAACAACAAAAACGGTTGATTAATATTCAAGAATTTCCGATTAAGTAAAAAATAAGAAATATAATGATACTTAAATTCCATTATTCTAGCTCCGTTTTTCAAGTACCAAACTATTCTTAAATTAAATCTAAAAAAAGATAATAGCTAATCAAAGAAAAAGAAATGAAATGGAAGCAAGACTCTACAACCAAAGGAGAAAATCAGATCTTCACAGCTTCAAAGGCTCTGACTTTCACAAACTCCACCACCTTCACACAAACCAGTCTTGAATTTCTAAAACCAGGCCAATAAGCTCCAGTCTTATAAAGAAAGAACTTCCTTTTAAAGACTACACCATCAATAGAAAATCCAAACAACCATCCCAAAGTTTGCAATACCATAGGAATATTTAACACAATCCTCTTAATACACACCGTCTT